ATCATGAGAATTATTATTTAAAAGATTTTCAGGGGCACCTGGGTGACTCAGTCAGTTAAGCATCCAACTTCAGCTCAGGTCATGATCTCCCGGTTCATGGGTTCAAGCCTCGTGTTGGGCTCTGTGCTGACAGCTTAGAGCCTGGGAGCCTGCTTCGGATTCTGTGTCTCCCTCTCTCTCTGTCCTTACCTGCTGCTTGTGCTCTCTCTCTTTCTCTCTCTCTCAAAAATAAATAAACATTTAAAAAAAATTTTTTTTCAAACCATATACCCTTTCCCCAGAGAATCTGATATGGCCCCTTATCCTCTCAGACACCTTCTCCCCTGCCCCTATCATCCCCCTAGATTGAGAATAACTGCTCTTGGGCCTTCCCCATCCATGATAGTATTATAATGGGAAATTCCAGTAAATACTTTACTGAAAGAAAACAACATGGGACGTAGGGGCCTTGGTTGAGATGTTTTGTGGGGATAGTTTAGCAAGAGCTGGTGGAGTCGAGTTTGTGCCGAGAGACAGCTTCAGAGCAGATGACTGAGGTGAGTGGATTTACTTGGAAACCTTCCTGCTTTCTGCTGCTTGTAGCTACAACTGCTGCACATGTGGCCAGGCTCCAGAGTGGCTGCCCCCAAGACCGCCGCCACCCCTGGCACTTCTCTGCTCCTCTCCCCTCCACCCCCAAGCTTCAGAGAGCTCAGTCAGGACACTTAGCCATGGCTAACTGACTTTAAGCACTTCAGCCTCTCAACATTTCCGAGCTCCTTTTCCGAATGACGTGTGCCAACCAAACAGCACAAGGGAAGAAAGAACATGAAGAGAAGAGATAATAAGATTAAACTGGTGGGGTTAGGGCTGAGGCAGGGAATTAGTGAGGGAGTGTAACTTTAACTGAATACTTGTCTCATTTAAGATTCTGCTTTGGAACTGTGACATAGAGAACCCCCCCCAGGTAGAGATGGCGTTGTGCAGGTGAACCTGGCTGCCACGTGCCCTTGGCTGTCACAGGAGGAAGGTCAGGCCTAAATCCCATTCTTGGCCAAGACTGCTGTAGTCAGGATACTTCACATCTCTGGGCCTTTTCTCTAAATACTTTGATGGTGGTTCCTCGTTGCCCAGATGCAGAGTGACAAATGAGATTTACATTTTTTTCTGGGAGCCAGGGCTGAATTGCGTGAACATGGCAACTCATTTAATCCTTGGAACCTTCCAGCCTTGTTCAATTCTTTGTTTTGAAACACCTGAAAGGAAAGCTCAGAGTGGATGTTAAGTTTGCTGCAGTTCTAATATGCAGAAGCCTTAGTTTCTTGTGCCATTGGGGGGATAAGGACTCGTACCATCACATTGGTGACAGTATCAGCTACTATGTGTCAACTAGCTAGCATATACCAGGTCTTGCGCTAAATGCTTTGCATTTATCATTGTGAATCTTTACACAGGTACACCACATATAGAGGTTAATCGTTCTCTCATAAAGATGAGGAAATCAAGGCCTGAGGGGGTGAAGTGACCTGCTCACCTAAAAAGTAGTGGAATCAAATGTGTCTGTCTTCAGAGCCTGGGCTTTCTCTGTGACACCAGGCTGCTCTGCTTGGTTAGAACTCTGCCTTGCTATCAATCCTCAAGCCTCTTCTACTAAATCTTTAGCTAGAGGCACTAGGAAATTGAAAATGGGCCTCTTACAGTTCCACCTCATTTCCCTTCTTTTCACCCTCTGGTGAAGAAGTTAATTGGGCAGCAAAGTGGCCAAAAGGCTGGCAGGAAGAAGAAACTGCAGCAGCAGCAAAGGGCTTAAATCTTCCACAAACTGGGCATTCAGCCTCCATGTAGTTGAGAATTGGCTGGACCCCTAAGTTAAGTATCTTAGACTAACAAAAAGTGATCTCTAATCTCTGAGCTGGGAACCAGAGTGGGATGGCCACTCCTTCCTCGCTCTTAGGCAGGTCTGGCACATCCCAGAGCTTCCACTGTGACAAAAGAGCCAATAGTCTGCTGCCTTGTTGATTTGGTGTTGGGTATGGAGGGAACTTTGAAATTATCAGATGAAAGGTTGTATTATTATTGTTCTACTCAGACATTTGTCCGACTCCATAACCAGAAGACTGGCCAGGAAGTAGTGTTTGTTGCTGAGCCAGACAGCAAGAACGTGTACAAGTTTGAACTGGATACTTCTGAGAGAAAGATCGAATTTGACTCTGCATCCGGCACCTACACTCTCTATTTGATCATCGGAGATGCCACTTTGAAGAACCCAATCCTTTGGAATGTGGTATGCCCTAATGCACCTTGACCTAGGCAAGAGTGGCTGTGCCACAGTCAGACAGAGACTGCTCTTTTTCAGGAACATGGCCTCTTTACCCTGGCCTTGCCTGTGCAGGGCAATAAATAGGCATGGTGAGGTGAGGGGCCGTGTGCTGGTCCTAGGGGTATGCACATGGCCTGGCACATCGTAGGTGCTCGATAAGTAGTGACTGAGTGAATGAATGAAGCATGAATTTGCCCTTGTGGGTCCTAGCAAATTTCTTTTTTTTTTTTTTTTTTTTTTTT